TGTCACACACTTTCACATGCACTCACACTCACTGCCACACACACGCACTGCCACACCCATCCTCACTGTCACACACACTCACTGCCATACACACTCACACATACTGCCACACACACTGTCACATACACTCCCTCACACACTGTCACACTGTCACACGCACTCACACACACAATGCCACATGCACTCACACACACGGTCACACCCACACTCACTGTCACACACATACTGCCACACACTCACTGCCACATGCACTCACACACACTCACTGTCACACACACACTGTCACATGAACTCGGGCACACAAGCTCACTGTCACACCCACTTGCTCACACACACTCTCTCTCACACAGCTCAGACCAGGAGGGACTTCAATAGCTTTGTTAAGACAGAGGAAGCTCCCCTGTGGGAAAACTTACAAGGACATATATGCCCCCGGCCTTCAGGGAGGGAGAAGCCCTATTCCTGCCTGCTGTGCCCACGGAAGCCCCCCCAAGCAAGAGGGAGTCATGGGGCCTCAAGAAAGTGGGATCTGGCTTGGTGTACAAAGGTAGTGAAGGTTTGGCCTTTATAAACTTTTTTTTAAGTAATCATGCTGTCCAGCATCACAGGCCTAAGGGGAAAAAGGGTTATAGCGACTCTCTAAGCCAGACTAGTTAGTTACTTCGCTCCCTCTCTCAGTGGAAGTTAGGCTTCTGGCCCTCCTCACCTACTTCTTTATTTTGGTTTGCCTGACAAAAAGACCTTTGACCCTCCTCACCTCTTCACTCCAAATGCCCTTTCTCTCCACTTCTCCTGGGTATGAACACCCCACTGGGGATATCAGCACAACTCTGACTAGGAGCCAGGCCAGGTGTGAGCCATCACTGGGAGCAGTGAGCACGGCCCAGGGATCCAACCTTCCCTCAGGTTGTCTAGTGGCAGCTAGGGACAGCTGGAGGTGGGGGAGGAGGGAGTGAGCAGAGGAGGCAGTCTTCCTGGGGGGGTGGGAAGCTGGTGTTCAGGGTGTTCCTCCCCCACATGCACAGTCTCAGAGAAATTGGGGACCCCACTTCTCTTGAGTCCTGGAGCCTGAGGGCCAGCAATCTTTCTTCAACGACACAGAAGAGCACAGGTCTGCCTCCTAAACTTGCCACCGTAGGAAAAGTCACAATAAGAATCATTTTCCTTCCTTAAAATATCTGAGCTCTTTAAGGGGAGGGCTGAAAGGAATGGTGATGAGTTCAAAGCACAAAGACTAAAATGCCATGGTGAGCATAACTCTCCAGGGTATCATGAAACCATCACTGTGAAACCCAGACCCTCCCCTAGCCTTAAAACCAGTTATCTTCTCCAGCTTTGTAGGAATTGGGCCTCCCTCCCTCCTCCCCTCCTCCCTTCCCTTTCTCCCACCCACAAGCTCGAGCTCCTGTCACACTGAGCTGAGCCTGGAGAAGCAGAGGGGCCCTCTGGGCTGCCTGGCCTGCCCACCTGGCCCCCAGGCAATGACAGCAGGGAAGCCTGGAGCCTGCTGGCTCTTGCTAAGGGTGCTAAGAGTTGGGGAGGGGTAGGGGGAGGGGTGAATGTGACTCTCCTTCCCGGGAAGGTGCTGTATTTGCTTCAGTATCAGTTAGCAAGAGGAAAGAGGAGGGAGGAGGGGAGGAGGACGTGAACTTCCAGCTTAGATCCTGAAGCTTCACCTCCTCCCGGATCAGGTGGAGCCACAACATAGGGGTGGAGACACCCTGGATGTTCCAGGGCTTTGAGCTGGGAGACATGATTATCTCCACTGGATGGGCTCTGACCACCAGGACAAGTGTCACCAGAGTGGGGCCTTCATGTGCCAGTGTCCTACTGGCATTACCTCAGATTTTTGCAATAGCTCTGCCCAGTAGGCCATGTGGCCCCAACTCACTGATGTGTAAAATAAAGGTCAGAGAGGTTAAGTCATTTACTCAAGGTCAACCAGCTACAAAGTAGTGGTGCCAGACTTTAAATCAAAGCATTGAAGTAAATGTTATACCAAACGGAAAAGAACAATTGGCCCTCCAAAAGTTAGCTCCCTGTTCTAACCTGAGCTGATCCTGCAGAGGGGAGTAGCTTCATTTTTGAGTATCTTCATTATGAAGTCTCCACACCCAGCCCAGCACAAATCCCTCACCTCCCACCACAGACCCAGGCAGGGTCACCCTTTCCATGTCACACCTTTGGCCCAGGGACATGGACCAGCGGCAACCTGCCCCCTTGAATCACAAACCATCTTTGATCAAAACAGATTCCAACAAAGGGTCTCAAGCAAGAGGGGGCATAGACATAATGTGGGCCACGCCCTGAAAACTGCTGTTCCCGTGATTATTTATATATAACATAATGCTTTCTAAGACTCCCACTCCTACTATACAAAAAGCAGAGCAGGTGTTACCATTTCATCTCTCAGGTGGGGCAACGAAGCTCAGAGATGTTAAGGGCCTGCCCATGGTCACACAGCAGTGCAACGGCAGAGGCAAAACTAGAACCCTCATCATCCATGTGCACCCATGATTCCTGCTTATTCTCTGGGGCTCATATGAAGCCCAACTTGAAGTTTACTTGAACTTTTCTTTTTTTTTAAGTACAGCAGGTGATAATATGACTCAGAGATGTTTATCTGCTCATAGTTCCCTGACAGTACTATCCCTACTTTGCAGATGGAGAAACTGAAGTCCCCAAAGATGAAGAGATTAGCCCCATCATGCAGGGGATGAGAAAGGAGCGACAGGACATGTGGGCCGCCTTGACGTACAGTCCAGAGCGCTAACCACCCCCACCACCATAGCAGGTGAGACTCGTCCCTCCCTCACAGCCCCTTAGCGGGTGGCACGGCAGCAGACTCAGCTAGAGAGAGAAGGGTCTCCGCATCAGCGGTGCAGAGGTGGGGACCAGATGTACACACGCACTCTAAAGCAGATGTGTCAAGTATCGGGGTCACAGTTTTGGGATTCAGATTTGCTTTTTTAACTTGTAAGCCTTGTGGCACTTGAGAACATTTCGGTCAAAACTAAATCAAAGTGACTTTCAGAATTAACAATCAGCCTCAAGAACTGGGTTTTGTGGAAGCAGAGCACACCAGCACAGTCAGGGAAGGAAATCTGCCCCTCAGGTGAGCCTCCCCGGTAAATGGATAAGTCTCCCTGGGCCTCCAGAATCCAAAAAAGGTTCACCAACCAGCAGGGGGAAGGAAATATCTGTGGAGATGAAAATCCCATCTGGACAGGGCCCTTTAAATGAGATCATTATGTATGTGTGCAACTCACTCCCTGACCACCAGCCCCTGCAGGAGAGTGACCCTCATTTCTTCCCACAGGTCACTTTGCAAAGGACTAGGGGAGAGCAGCAGAGTCCGGCTCCGTGCCAGGCTGCCTGGATCTCCTGGCCAAGAGCAATTAGGCCAGGAGGAAGGCTCTTGCCAAGTCGCAGAACGAGCTCTGCAGCTGGCCACGAGTGGCCCAACTAGCCCGCATCCGAGTCTCCAGGGGCTTCTTCAGGAGCTGAAGAACTAAAAATAACCTCAGCTTTAGTTGTAAGCAGTTGGACCACAGAGATGGAGCTGATTTCAGGGAAGCCGAGCATGTGCCAGGGTCCCACTCACTGGGACCTGCCCTTTGGGCAAATGATTTTTCCAGAAACGTGTCAGTTACTGTGCTGCTGCTGTTGCCACCACTGCTGAGATTCAAAGGCAGCCAGATCGGCTCCAGCCCGCGGTGCTTACTTCCAACACTGACTTCCGGAATCTGAGACTCCCCACCTCTTTCTTCATGAAACACTTTTAAAAAACAAGAGTCCAGTACATATTGCAGAGTTTCGGAGACAAGAACAGCCCTCGAGCTGAGGGTTCTGTATCATGGCCACAAATCACCATATGCCCCCAACTGTTTGTGTTTAGCTAACAGTCATGGCTCTCCCATCCTAAAATTTCCAGAGTCAGGGCTCAGTAGACAACCGCCCGCAGACACCCTGTGGAAGGGAGAAATCACTTGGGAAGAGGAATCCATGACATCACAATACTGGTGGTTTCTCAAAGCTACAGTTCTTTGTACCAAAATTCAAATTCTTGACGAAACAGCCTTTGCTCACCTTCTTAGTTCTTGAGTCCTACCAGGGAAAACTGAAGACCCAGGTTGGCCAGGAGGTGAAATCTCAGCATCCCTGCCCACAGGTTGTGGCTTGTCACCTCAGGGATGCCTCACTTCTGAAGGTGAAGGAACCACAAAGCCTGGTCTCCTGCACAGTCACTCTTGACAGAGACCAAATACTGACTGGCTGTGCAGGGGTTTCAGAATTGTCTTCACAATATTTTCTCCCACCCCTCAGTGCCTCTACTTTCCTCCCAAACCCCTTCAAGAGACCACCCTGGCTGTGGATACCACTGGATATCAGCTGGCAGTCCAGAAATCACCACTTCCTCTTTGTAGGGAACAAGGAGGGATTTCTGTGCTCCATCATCAAAATGGCCTCCAGGCTCCAAGTTTAGAAGTTTCCAGTGAGGTGTGTAATTAAAAAAAAAAGTCTTCTCCACAGACTTTTTCCTCTGGTGAGTTCAGGGTGAGGAGACTTGAGGTGGGAGGTGGGAGGATTTCTTGGAGCACAATCGAAAACATCAAACTACACACAAATAACTGATGAGTGGTCACAAAATGGCTTCCCTTAAAATGGGAACCGGTGTGAGGGCCAAAGGTCCACAGAAATGTGAGAGGGTTCCACAGGGTCAGGGCTGGAGTTGTTCTTCAAAAATGCAAGATCTTCCTGAAAGAAGCAGGAGGGTCTGGCTGAAGTACCAAAACCTGTGTGTAGGAGGTAAGTGGATGCCTCACCCTCTTGGTTCCAAATGTCTGTGCCCTCTGTGATTACTGATTTTCCTTACAGTTGTTCTGCTGGATATAGGGGTAGGGGCTCAATCTGGTTTGACGTGGGCTCTGCTTTAGCCTTTCCAGTGGTAAGTCACACTTTGTGACCAGGGGCCCTAGGCTTGGCAGCCAAAGGCTGAGGCTTTTTCTTTGAGCAGTTCCCAGCATAAGTGACAACTCCAACTTCCTACAAAAAACAAGATCATATTATTTGCAGCACTGCTCTACCCCTCAAGTCCCCCCCCCCCAAACCTAACTTCTTGTAAGTCCTGTTTTCTTTTGAGTTTTATAGTTCAGAGACTCAGTCCAGGCCTAGAGCTCTGAAGAGTCAGTGCTCACAAATGACTGGCTGAATTGTTGTGAAAGCTTCCTCAACTGTGAGGAAGACCCTTGCTTCCTGATCATCCCTCTTAAATAGCATCACCAGGCATAGCTCAACTCTGGAAGCTTACACCTCCCACCATCTCTGTCACACTTCCCTGGGGCTCAGATGGAATTTCAGATGATTGAATTGTGCCTCAAATGTAAGATTGTAGCAGTCACACCTACCTCATAGGGTCATGATGATTACATGAGACATGACATGAAAAACCTGAAAAGGCCCTGCACCATAGTGAGGACTTAAGGGGGTGGTAGTAGCTGTTGTGGTAGCTGTTGTTACTGTCCATCTTGTCACCATTACCTTCTGGAGGCTCAGCCACAGGAGGATTTAAACAGTACATGTGGTAGCCACGATCACAGTCATCACAGAAGAGGAGCTGGTCCTGGAGGAGCACAGAGTGGTGAATAGGAGGAAAAGGTTGCATTAATTAGGGTAAGTGTCACAGCCTTAGTTCCATATGTCAATTTCCATATGTCGATGTCCCCATTTGGGGTCCTCAATTGTTCCCTGAATATGCCTCATTGCCCATACATGGAAGTCTCCATCAGCTTCCCTCAGTCTTTGGTATGCAAATCATACCTCCCCTTCAGGGTTACTCTCAAATCCTACCTCCTTAAAGAAGTCTTCATTTATCACCACCTCACAGTTCAGCTTAGAGGAACTCCTTACTCTTCAAACTCTTCTCTGTCATAAAGATTTCATTAGTCTACCTCAACGAAAAGGTCTCTCTCCCTTTCTGCAACCTTGTAGTACTTTCTCTTTCCTATGATGCTTAAATGAATTTTTCTTACTGTAAAACCTGGCATGTGGTAGACATCTATATACTTCTATTGGCTAGTTTGCTTGCAAAATGCCTCTTTGGTCCACTCCTAATTGGACTATAAGGTCATGGGGACAGAGCCTTTTCTTTTTTCTTTTTTTTTTCCTTCTTTTTTTAAAATGACTATATCACCATTTTTAATGTGTCCATAATCATAAAATCTAACTTTTTAACCTTTGACTATATGGCATTATGAAAATTATGACACTTTTTGAAAACAGTTATGAGTACTTGCCAGTTTTTATATCTTCAGCTTTTAAAAAAATAATATAATAGCTTATTTTTACACCATTTAGTGCCTTTTTCCATCTCAGTTGTAATTCCTATGGGCTTCTCATCACCAAATCACCCGTGTGCCATCACCATAGTCCAGTGAATTTCCCTCCCCCCACTGTTTTTGATCCCATTCCCCACTACACCCCATGAAATGTCTCTGGTATATAGCTGTTCATTATTATTGTTATCTTCTCGCCTGGTCTGTTATATTCCTGCTATGAGTGAAACCATCCGGTATTTTCCTTTTCTTGCTGCAGAGCCTTTTCTTACTCACTCTGCATCTCCCTCAGAACTTCTTTGCACATAGTTGCTATGCAGTCACTGTTTATGTTCTCGTCCCATTCTCTAGAATCATGCCCGGTTACATGACCTGTGGCTCTGTTTGGATGGCTTATAAGAGGTTTGCAAAATTAAGTCTGTATTAAATCTCACTTTGGCTCCCACCAGTGTAGAGATCCTATAAAAAGTACATATAGAAGTTGTAAACCTCACTGAACAAACAGTGAGTCAGGAGAGATCACAAAAGACCTTTCTTAGTATACTAAAACCTTTCAATGAAGGCAATGGGAAGCTTCTGAAGGTTCACAAAGGAGTGAGGTGGTCAGACTTGCAGATTAGAAAGCTCTCATTTGCTGCTAAATGCCCATAGTCACCTAGGTGGGGAAAAGTTAGATCTAGAGTCCAGAGAGCACTTAAGAAGTTGATTCAGGCATCCAGGTGGGAGATGATGGTGTCCTGAACTGGGATTGTGGGCCATGAGAAAAGAACAGGTCTTATTCCCATTTAAGAGTTATTGATTAGATGTGGAGAGTGGTATGGAAGAAATTAAGAAAGCCCCCTGTCAGCCCACTTGTTGATGCAGTCATCCTTTGAGACATGGGCTGAGGAACAGATTCATGGAAGGCAGAGAGAAGCCTCAGCTATAGGCAGACTGTATAGATCTACAGATTATCCAATGGGCATGCTCTGGAAACAACTAGAGATGGGGAAGTTAGCCTGGGCATGAGACATAGATTTGGTTGGTGACGAGATGGAAGTCCTGCCTTCAGGGAGGCGATCCATGAACTTCTTAAAATGAATGTACAATCTTGTTGGTAGAAATGTACTTTTTTTTTTTTTTTGAGAAAGAGTAAATCTATAGTTTTGATGAAATTTCATGAAAAACTAAGTACTATAAAAAGATTACTATGACAAAGACCAAGAAATAGGCCCCTGGGGAACACCAATTTTAACAAACAAAAGAAGAATAAAGAGACTAAGAAACAGTAATTAGAGAGATAGGATGAAAACAAAAAAGGTGTGGTTTACTCTAAAAACATGACACAGTTATCCTTGGAGCTGAGGGAAGCTACACAGTGATTTGGATAATATGAAGAGAAACAAGTTAGGACTAGCATAGGGATCAAAACCAGGGAGAAACTAATAATACTTACAGTATTACTAGAACCCTAAAGACACTGATAATCTCTATTATGTTGCTGACATGAGAAATACCTTCAAGAAGGCAGAATATCCTGGATTGGACTTTCCTAAAGAGGAACAAACATTTATAACTTAATATATGTTTCTCAAAGTTAACCATCATCTAGCATCATAGTCTCTTCTCTTCCACCTGCTTTCCATGATAATTGCCTGTTAAACTACGGGAAACCCTACCTGATGAAAAACACAAGTTAAGTACCTCTTACTACCAAGAATCCAAGAACCCGGATCTACTTATGGCCAGAGTTCCAGGGAACAGGAATCCCTGAGTGTGGGGAGGAACCTGTATCCTGAGAAACCTCACATTGATTTCTGCCCCAAGGCTCCACCACATCAACAGGAAACCTCTGCTTTAACACTGTTTGTAAGACCAAAGCCAAGGATCAATCCAAATGTTCATCAATAAGGGACTAGATGGATAAACTAGTGAATTCCTGTGCAGCTATACGAAAGATAAAGTCTGTGTCTATATATTGCTGTGGAGTAATCTCTAAGCTATTCAATAAAAACATGAGATGAAGAAAACATGTACACCTGTTACCACTTTCTAAGATGTTTCCATTTTTTTAAGGATTCTAAGATATTTCCATTTTTTAATGGATTCATATGCACATAGGTATACTTTCATATAAAGAACATGGAAAGATAAGTGGTCACCTATCAGCAGAATAGTGTCAGAGAAGTGAGACTGGAGCTAGATTTCTTTGAATGTGTTGTTTATGATTTGATTCTGGAACCAGTGAATATTTTGCACACTCATAACGTAAAAGTAGTTTACAAGTATTCCTAAAAAACAAAGGAAAATGAATCTTTGTATTAATTTGTGGCATAACCACATAGAAAGAGACTATAATAAGTGGTTTGATTGTACATCCTTAGTCAAATATATCTTAGTGACAAAAATAAGTGTAAACAGATATATTCAGTAATCATATTGTGGGTGGAAATAGAGGAATTGATATCTTAAGACTTTTATGTGTGTAGCCAATAAGTAATAATGTAATAATGTCGGTTTTGAGAACAGCAAGATTTCAACATGGTTGGAATAAAATACAAAGATTTTCAGTAAGATTCAGTATAAGTCCTACAATTAGTCCTAGGTGTGAATTGGAAGTATCGTTATAAATGCATATCTTCAAAACAAACAAAACATATTTTTCAACCCTACCCATTGAGAAGTCCCCCATACAGTAACTAATACCTTGAAAATTAACACTAGTGTTATGTTTTCTGAAGATCATCTCCCACTAACATGAACATTGCCTGCTATCTGGGTCACTAAATGAATATCATTACATACTGGAAAGCAAGGAAGTGATCAAATACTATTGGGATCATGTCAAAAGGACTCAAGATCCATCCAGCTTGGTTATGCTCCCCAGGGGCAAAAAAAGTACAAATTCAACTATAATGGACTGAAATAAATCAAATCTATTTAAATCCTTGAATTCCTAAAAACATGATTTAAAATAAAAACTGTCACCTTTGGAAGATGCTAGAGAAATATGCATTTATATTTGTATTTACTATTTTGAAATAATTTTAGATTTAGAAAAAGATTATGAAACTAGCATGGAGAGTTTCTGTATACACTTTATACTGCTTCCCTGAATGTTTGCATCTTACATTCCCACAGTATGATCACAAAAAATAGGAGGTAATTGCCACTGGATATCACCGACTAGTCTACAGAACTATCTTGAGTTTCCCCACCATGTTCTTCATGCCAGAATCCAACCCACAGTGCATTTACTTGTGTTCTTGACTCTGAGACATCTCTTCAGTTTCTCCATCTTTCATGATCTGGATCCTTTTGAAGATCCCAGGCTAGTGACTACATAGAATGTCACTCAATGTGAGCTTGTCAGCTTTCAGTTCATGAGAAGATCGAGGATATGTATTTTGGGCCAGAATAACAGAAAAAAGATGGTGTGCCCTTCTCAATTCATCGTGCCAGGGGGCACTGATATCAGTAAGTCTTACTGTGTTCATGGGTCAAGGGCCAGTTTCTCCATTGTTAAGCTATACCTTTCCCAGTATAATGCTTTTATAAGTAATCTAAGAGGGGAGACACTCTGAGATTATGCAAATATCCTCTTTCTCATCTTACTTTTACCCACTAATATTAACATCAATTGATGATTCTTACAACAACCGTTAACTGTGATTTTGCCTACTTTTATTTTGCCTATGTTTATTAATTGCAACTCTGATCTAAAGTAGAGTTTACCTCTTCCTTATTTGTTTATTTGAATTTTTTGTGCTTGTTCAAGATTAATATTATTTTCATTTTATCCTTTGCCTTGCAATTTAATACTATCATGATTTTGCTACTCAAACTGCCCCCAATTTGGCAATAGCTGTGCCTTCAACTTGGCTCCTATGTCCTTTGGATATGGCCCATGACTTTTTGAGCACATCCCTACTTTATAGTACACAGGCTGCTCCAGACTCCTCCTGCATTTTCCCTGCCTGGGTTCTGGCACCAGCCACTTCTCCTGGTTCCCAGTAGTGGAAAATGGTATTTAGAAACTAGTGTCTGTGTGGTAGGTATTTTCACTGTTTTTGGGTTGTTATTGCTCTAGTCCCTACCAACTGACAGAGATAGGAAATAAATAAATGTATAGGTAGACATGCTTCTATCCGTCTATGTATATAAACTATATTAGATTATACTCTATCATATTAAAACTCAAGAGCTCACACCAGTACCCACCATTCCAACCCCATGCCACCGGATTCAGATCAGCCCACTTCCGACACTTGGAAATTCATTCTCTGACATTGGAGAAACTTCTTCTTATGATTCACAATTTATAGTTATTAGTTCAGACCTGTACACACATGATTTCAGAATGACTAACTCATTTTATGAGAAGTAACTTTATTAATGAGAATATGTTATTTGTGAATAATTTCTCACAATATAAATACTGCTTTCCAGAGTTACTTAGGTTAGTCCCTTCCTGCACTACACTTCAGTATGATTATGTTATAAATTTACGTTATACTTAGGTTCATTTGTTACTGTTCCTATCCCAGTTTCCCCACATCCTAGTAGATTTTCAGTATTTCCACATTATAGAACATATGAAACAATACCTTGGTTATTTGAATTAGAACTATAGAAAAGACATGTTCAGAGAATTGTTTCCCCTTTATCCCTATCAACCCACTGACAGGACATTCTTTTTCTCAGCAGCCTAATAATCTCATTATTATGGGCCTAATTTTGTAATGTTTCTGTGCCATCACTTGTTTAACCATTATTCTTTGGATGTCTGAGCATTAAGATTATTTCCAATATTTTGCAATTATCAGCAATGTGATCATGAATAAACAATGCATATGTATTTTCATAGATAGTTGGTATATCTTTAATATAGATTCCAAAGGCAAATCACTGAATTGGAAAGTAAGTGCACCATAGGTATGTTTGGTATTGCTGAAATTCTCTCCAGGTAGGTTGCACCACCTTGTATTCCCAGGTGATGGTTTTCACACAGCTTTTTCAATACAAAGTGTGGTCACACTTTTAAATTTTTTTCCAATTTATGTATTAAAAAGGGTTACATTTGTTTTATTTTAATTTGTTTTCATTTTTTTAATTAACAGTGCATTTGAACAGTTTTTAATGTTTAGGAGTCATTTCTTATATCTTTCATGACTTATCTGTCACTCTTTTATTTTATTCTATCTGGTTTCTGGTCTCTGGTCCCTCAAATTTTGCAAGTTCTTTGTGTATTAGAGATATTAACCCTTTTATTGTGGTGTATGTTACAAATAAGTTCTCCCAGTTTATCAGCTGCTTTTTTTATTTTATGGTATATTATAATATATAAAATTTTATGTGGTCAAATTTATCAATATTTTCTTTTATTGTGATTGAAATTTGAGTCACAGGAGATCTTGTATTCAAGAAAAATTCACCAATGTTAACTAATCTGGTTTTATTTTTTATATTTGGATCCCTAGCCCATTTGAAGAACGTTCTTATGTATTTTGTGGGCTATGGGCCTAATTTTGTCTTTTGCCAAGTACCTCATTGTCCCAAACCATTCACTGAAAAGCCATCTTTGATCCAGTAATTTTAGCTGTAATTCTTATACTAAATGTATGTAGTTGGGTCAACTCAGGGATTTTCTAATCTATTCCATTGCTCCATTTGCCTACACTGTTTTAATAAAGAGGTCTTACAGTCTGTTTTAACACGTAGTAGGACTAGTCCCCCAGCCAAGGATTTGGACTTGGTGTGTGTTTTCTTTACTGTTCTGGCAACTTTGTATTTCTACATGAATTTTAGGATCAACTTGTCTAGCCTTATAAAAACTTATTGCTGTTTTTATTTTTCTTCAATTAAATTTGTAAATCAGAAAGAACTGATCTTCTTTACAAAGTTGAGTCATTCTGTCCAAAATCACATGGATGTCTTTATGTTTGTTCAATTCTACTCTGTGTCTTTTCAAAAGGGTTTTAATATTTTCTTTATAGGCTTTACATATTTACTGTTCAGTTTATTTCTAAATACTTCTTATTTGCTGCCAGTAAGTGGAATTTCTCTACTAGTATGCTCTCTGATTATTATTAACTTAATAGAAGGTTATTAATTTCTGTATATTTTTATATAATGTTACCTTTATTGTTGAGCTAGCTCAATCATTGTTTATGTGAGGCTTTCTAGAGGATCATTTCCTACTTCATTGCCATTATTATGCTTCTAGTTGGTTTCTCTTGTCTGACTGTCTTAGCTATGATACTTCTACAACAGGGATGAATAGTAGAAATTATGGGCATCCTTACCCATTTCCTGATTTGAATAGAAATTCCTTTATATTTCTCCATTACTAAGATAATGATTTTAGTTCTGAAGTATAAATAGTTTATCATGTTAAGAAAGTATCCCACAATTCCCATTTCCTTGAGTATATTTATCATGAGTAGGTGTACAACCTACCATTATTTTGAAAACTGTAAATAAAGGAGAAAAATCAAGTATTTGTCACGTACCTTAGACAACCAAATATGAGACTGTAAAAATGTTTCTTTTTGTTATGATGTAAAAATAAACTTATAAAATTTTTTTAAAAGTTTCTTTTTGTAAAATTACTCCAATTAGTAAATGAAGAAGAAATTATAGACTAAAAATGTCACTATTCTGAAACTGTTAATGAAATAATAAATTCTAATTGAAAATAATCAACAGTTGTTTACCTTCACAGAAAGAGAGTCACCAGGTATTCCATGCCTCCTGATAGGACACACCACCATTTATTTATTTATTTATTGTTTATTACAAAGTTTATTTTTACATCATTTTGCACATTTTTTTTTTCCCATCTCGATTGTAATCCCCACGGGTTTCCCATCACCAAATCACCCCTGTGCCTCCACCATAGTCCTGTGCATTTCCCTCCCTTCCCCCCCCCCTTTTTTTCCCATTCCCCACTCCGCCCCCACAGAATGTCTCTGGTATATGGTTGTTCATTATTTTTGTTATTTTTCTTGCCTGGTCCATTATACTCCTGCTATGAGTGAAACCATCCGGTATTTTTCTTTCTCTTTCTGGCTTATCTCACTAAGCATGATCTTTTCCAGCTCCATCCAAGTTGCTGCAAAAGACATGTGTTTCTCTTTTTTGGTTGCTGAGTAATATTCCATTGTATATATGTACCACATCTTTCTAATCCAGTCATCTACTTTTGGGCATTTGGGCTGCTTCCATGTTTTTCCAATTGTAAATAAAGCAGCAATAAACATGGGGGTACAAGTATCTTTTTCATTCAGTGTTTTTGTGTCTTTTGGGTAGATACCTAGGAGTGGGATTGCTGGGTCGTAGGGAAGCTCCATGTTTAGCAGTTTGAGGAACCTCCAGTTTTCCATAGTGGTTGATAGGACACACCACCATTTATGAAGTAGCTTTGCCAAATACATATATATACACATATATATAACATTGTATTATATTATATTGTATTATATTATAAAGTACATGTTTAGAAAGAGGCCAAGATTGACTGAGTGTGAATCTGATCAAACTCTAGTTCTAAGCTAAAATGTATAAGAAAAGACGAGACAGAGGAAGATGTTCACCGCTAACATGGGGGCGTGGCCAGTAAAATACACTCACAAGACACTAATGAACAAATTAGCTGATTTCCTCAACAAAAATTCAAGAGGGAAAAGGAGCAAGATGGAGGGAAAAGCTATATATTAAAGGAAACTTTACAAGCAAGCCAAGTAATCACAGCTATAGACCTGACTTGCATCCTAATTCAAATTAATAAGCGGTGTTAAAAACATTTATACACAGGTAATAGAAAGGTTGATCAAATGTTTGAGTATATTAAGGAATTAATGATTTTTTTAGCTAGATTAATATTTTGGTTATTTTTGCTAAGAAGTCCTTCTCTTTGTGAAATTTATTTAATATTTAATTTAATATTTATTTTAAATATTTAAATACAAATACCTACTTTATTTATATTTGCAATATTTACAGATGAATGCTATTGTGATCAAGATTAGCATGGGGTCAAAGGGCAAGGGGAAGTCTTGACTGACATTTCTCCCAGCAGCCCAGTGATGAAAGTCCTTCCCAGAACTCTACCCCTCAAAGGTCTCCCAACTTTTGGATCTCTCTCTCTGACAAAGGATGCCCAAACTCACATCATTCTCTGAGGTCCCACAGAGGATGCAGGACTTGCACTCAATGCACTGCCACTTGTAGGTCTTGACGGCCTCAGTCATGTTCAGGGTGAACTGCAGGCAGGTTGGGTGACCTGGAGGAAGCAGAAATGGCAGCATTAGGGTCAGAGGAGATGACCCCTCAACACCACTAATCAAAAACATATCTATGCCCAATTTGTAGGGAGAGTGAGGGAAGATCACGGGTTGGGAAGTAAACTGGGGCCTTGATGAAGCTCTACCCACACTTAAGATGGCCCGTAGCTCCATCAGATTGAGGCCCAAAGAGAGAAATAAACATTAAACCCTTTCATTCAGAGATAGATACCTTTCCAGTTCTCTTGATGCATGATCCATGGCCCTCCATTCCCTGCACCCCACCCCCAGAAGTGAAATCAGTTAATGAGGATTAAAAAGTAGGAAACAAAGAGAACCAGAGAGAGAAGGCTCACAAGGCAGCACTTAGGAGTCACCACCATTCCCAAGCCCAGCTCCAAATGAGGCAGGAGAAAAAATTGAGGTATTTGGAGCTGGGTTTTCTGTGTGCAAAGTTGTTCACACTGCTTCAGGGCACAGGGCAGGATGTCAGAAGAAGGTTTAAGGTTCCCAGGGGCTGTGCAGAGGCCTCATGAGGCACTGTGCTGTTATCTGAAGTATTCATACCCATGCCAGAACCCATGTCCCACACAGTAACAGGGATTTGGAGGAAATGGCCTTGCAGAGAGAGCAAAGAAGTAGTCATCAACAGCAAAGGGTAGGCATGGCCAGCTCTACCCTCAAAGGACCTGTTGCTGGCTCTAGTTCTTTTCTCCATCCCAAGAATCACATTAGTCAAGCCAGTAGCAAAATTAGGAAGGAAGAGTTTGCTGTGAGCTTAGAGCACACACCCCAGTGGGCCAACACCCAAGGCTTGATGTGCAGAGTTAGATTATCTTCTTATCCAGCACTCACCCAAAAGAGACACTTGGGCAGAGAGAGGACAGGTACAAGGCACAGAATGGGAAACCCTTAACTTCTGTTTGCTAGGAAAGGAAAAGTTGGATGATGTGCTCAGGTTTCTGGTGCTGTGAGTCGGACAGGAATCTGTCCATAGTTCCCAGGGCAGGTCCCTTACTGGCTGTCAGAAAGGGATTGATAGCTGGGCCTTCTGCAGGGTTCACCCTTCTACACAGCCAGCTCCCAACTCTCCCAAGTCTGCCATATAGTGCACCGTGTTGTTTCCTGTATGTAGGGCTTATGTGCTTCTAAGGGGCACTACAGATGGCAGGCAATCTGCGTCATTCCACCAACTTGGTACCCTGCACTGTTAGTCAGGGTCCCACTTGGTACCACAACCCTTGGCAAAGACACATCCTGTGGGAAGCCCCCACTTTCTCCTTCCCAAATGCTCAGGAAGTCAGTTACATCACGATCATTTGGGGGAATACTGTTGATTCAGTCAACATACAAACACTTCCAATTTCACACTCCACAAAAGCAAACCATGAGGTTATTGCTGAGACTAGAGAGAGAAATTATTTGTTGATGGAGACAGTAAAAAAATACCTAGCAGAAAGGAATTAGAAGCATCAAGGAGAAGACTGACTTAAATGCTTTCCAAGGACTTCTTAGCTGCTGTAGAGCTCAGAGATGCCCACAGCTCTGAATGAATAATCCCCTTGAGGTGACACCATGGCAGGGACTCCAAAGAGAAAGAAGCTTGCATCACAAGCTTACACACATCCAGCCTATATTTCTTGAAAGCATCTTAAAGTTTTAAGAAGAATTCTGATCAGGATTATTCCCCATTTCAATCTCTCAGAGAGAAGAGTAGATTAGGATGAAGCAGGAAAATGCCAAAGCGTGATTCTGAGGGGCCACGGGTGTCCAAGTGCTCAGACAGAGCAATCTTGGGAATGCCGAAGATGAGTTCATGGAGCAGACACCCATATAAGCAAGTAGCCTTGGTCTAATCCCATGGCCTCCAGCTTGCAACAATCGATCATGAACTTAAGTATGGACGAAGCAATAGCTGGATGAGATACTGAAGAGATACACATAAAAGATAAATTGGTGGGAAGTCTAGTCAGAAAGAACTCAGATCAATCATTTGCACATATATCTATATATTTACAATTTTCAAGCACCACAAAGGAAAATCATGATTGATAACAAAATAAAACCATAGGGGAATCTAACCTATTCTGAGATGTCAAGGAAATCTTGCCTGAGGAAGATCTTGGAAGATGAGAAGTTAGCTTGAGGGGGTAGCAGGGGAGGATTCTAACTGGGGAGAACTGCAATTGGGGTGGGGCATTCTCTGAGCAGTGAAGGAGGTTATCAAATTAAAATGTTGAAAGATAAATGAGTAGAGGCTTGGTAGGGCAAGAGATGGCCAGAGAGGTAGCTGGAGCCAGATTACACTGGCATCCATAGTCCTAATTTGAAGATTCAGACTTTTAAGCCATTACAGGATTTTAAGCAAGACAGGGGCTGGGTCATATTGTGTTTGCAAAGCAGCATGAGGAATCATCACTGTGATGAAGCAGTTCTGTATCTTAGTGGCTACATATGTGATAAGGTTGCAGAGAACTGTGTGTGTGTGTGTGTGAAGCCAACACAATGTGAAGGCCTATGACTGCTCATCATTGTCAATTGCCTGCTTTTATACTGTACTATTGATTTACAAGGTGTAACCATCAAGGGAAACTGGGCGAAGGGTACATGGAAGCACCCCTTATGAAAGTTTGTGATTTTCTATGCAACTATATTTCAAAATAAAAAGGTTGAAAAGATCTTCTTAAGTAAGGAAAACCCCATAAAAACTAAAGTCATCATAAAGGAAGAAAGGAAGGAGCAGCTGTCTAAGGAAACCATTTGTTGCAGACAAGGAGAATGTAGAGATGTAAGAATTGTGGAGACAGGAGTTAGGCTGATGCAGCTGCCAGGAAAGACAAGAATGATCACACTAAAGTGAGCACTTGAGAAATTTTAAGGATGTAACTGACAAGACTTGAACAGTGTTTCAATAGGGGGAATATGGGAGAGGCATGAAAAATATGCCCAGGTTTCTAACCTAAGATAGCAGGTGGGTTGCAGTGAAACTTACTCAGACAAGGAAGATTCCAGCAAGAACATAAGGACCAAACAGAGGAAGGGGAGAATTGACTCTGTTTTACATATGTTAAATTTGGGAAGTCTCTGAGACTTCTGGTGAAAATGTCAAGGTGATAGTCAAATATCATGGGTTTTGAGCTCAAAGAGAAGTATACTGTAAACCTATACATTTAGAGCTTTTGTTAAATAGGTAGTTATTGACATCATGAAAATTAATTAAGTATGTAAGAAAAGGAAAAGTTAATTATGTAAGAAAAGGGAAAAGAGAAGAAAAAGAAAAAAGAGAGAGAAGAAAGAAGGTATAGGACTGAACTTTGAGCAGTTCAACTGCTTAAAGATCAAAAGAACCGGAGGACACCCAGAGAGATAAGATGCAGACTCAACAAGTATCACACACAGCAGCCAAAGAAGAGATTTCAGGAAGGAGAAGGTGGTCGATTCTGTCACATGTTCTTGAGCTTGTCATTGCTCAGTAAAGATCCTGAGTGAGGGAGTGTTGGTGGACCAGTACAAAAGCTGTCCTACTAACAACACCTTAGGAAGGCTGTCAGCACACTCCACGACATGATCTGGAACTCCACGGCCAGCCAAGCCTCTGTAGCTGCCTCTACTGTGAGCATGGCAGTTGGTGAGAGTGCTCCATAACCCAACAACACCCCACAAACACTATGGAAAGTCAATCCTACGTCCAAGTTCTTTCTGACCAGGGTGCTGAGCTCTGACGGCATTCTTGAAGGGCTTCTTCAGAAAGACTACAGTCTCCCGAGCTCAGTGCAGAAGAGAAGGCAGAACCAATGAACAGGGCTTGCATTGGAAATCTTTGAAAAAATCTTGTAGGCTTTTCCTGTGTTCCCATCTTGAGAAAGGCATCAGCCTCTTCCAAAACCCCTTGTATACAAAGGAAGGACCCACAGTTTACATAAACGCCCCAACCTCATCCCCTTTCCAACTAAAATCAGAAGGAGGAGCATCAACACTGGTTTTAGAATCCTCAGAACTCAAGACATCACCCAAGTGTGCAGGAAAGTAGGGGTGGAAATTAGACTGGTAAGGTGAGGTGCAAAAGCTTGTTCCCAATCATCTTTCACAGGTACAAAAATTATGTCCAGACTAAATTTTTTAGTGCCACCTCAACCAGTTGGCTGTCTGTTGTCTCTCAAAAATATGGGGGAAAAAAATCATGTGCAGACAACTGTAAGAATCAGATTTCTTACTTACCATGGAAATGAAATCATGCTGTTGGACAAAAGGAAGAGGTTTTAAGGCAAGTGGTAGAAACCCTTTTCTAAGGTTTGATCACCAGAATTCCTTATTTTTGCCCAGATGTAATTCCTAAAGCCCAGTGGAGTAAGGAAATAGCAGATGCGATTCCAAGGCTGTAGGAAAAAGAGGCTCGTGGTTGCAAAGACATTTACTCATGTTCATGCATGAGCATGCAACCTAAAGATTATCTCTTTCATAGCATTAATCACTGTTCTCTAATGCACTTGCTTGGCAATCTGGATTGTTCAATTTTTTTTCTTCAAGCAAGGAATACCTGTATTGCTATTTAAGTAGCCCAATGGAGGGAAACAAACCTTCCCAGGTCCTCACCCCTGGGTGAGATGATTCATCAGGTGATTTACAAGATTCCAATGACCAAGGTGAATTTAGGAAGTGGGACTGTGTGCAGGATTCCTCTGGTCCAGATCACTAAAGCCCAAGTCCTTCCTGGGCCTTCCTCCCGATTTATTCAATCGAGAAGTTTCAGTAAATCACTTACTTGTTTAGCTGGCCCAACAGTCAATTTGGTATGAATCCTTCCAAAACTATCCTCAGTCATCCCTAAAAGTTAAACAGGAAATGAAACCTGGGGCTCCCACGTACAGGGAGGTCTAACTTCTGGATGGGACTTTCAGACAATGGGAATTTGGCTCAGGGTGCTCT